TTCAATTGATGTTCCGGGCCAGTCCCTTTCCCCAATTTGGACTGGATACAGTACCTAACTCGCAGATGGTCAGCTTGGTCCCAGTTTTCCGCACTAGTCTCCCGACTGGGCCGCTGTCAAGCTATTTCACTTTTGGAGTCGCAGTGGAGATGTCACTAACCTGCTAACTCTCCCATCAGTGTTGATTTGGACCTGGATCCGTCTCGATTTGGAAATCGCTGACTTGAAATCGCTCGTTTGGATCAGATCTTGCTGTGTGATTTTTTTCAGCTTCCGCCGTGTGTACCAGTGGATTCGCAGACTACGAAAACCCCCAATAACCTGGACATGTGACAGTCTCCCTTGATCGTCACTTCCTGCGAAAACGTTGGACAGATTCGCTCAGAAAATGCCCTGATGCACCCTGTTACCCTCAAACACTTGCGCCGGTTCCATATTCTGTCTGCCTTCAAGTTCGCGCAATTTCTTCAATTGATGTTCCGGGCCAGTCCCTTTCCCCAATTTGGACTGGATACAGTACCTAACTCGCAGATGGTCAGCTTGGTCCCAGTTTTCCGCACTAGTCTCCCGACTGGGCCGCTGTCAAGCTATTTCACTTTTGGAGTCGCAGTGGAGATGTCACTAACCTGCTAACTCTCCCATCAGTGTTGATTTGGACCTGGATCCGTCTCGATTTGGAAATCGCTGACTTGAAATCGCTCGTTTGGATCAGATCTTGCTGTGTGATTTTTTTCAGCTTCCGCCGTGTGTACCAGTGGATTCGCAGACTACGAAAACCCCCAATAACCTGGACATGTGACAGTCTCCCTTGATCGTCACTTCCTGCGAAAACGTTGGACAGATTCGCTCAGAAAATGCCCTGATGCACCCTGTTACCCTCAAACACTTGCGCCGGTTCCATATTCTGTCTGCCTTCAAGTTCGCGCAATTTCTTCAATTGATGTTCCGGGCCAGTCCCTTTCCCCAATTTGGACTGGATACAGTACCTAACTCGCAGATGGTCAGCTTGGTCCCAGTTTTCCGCACTAGTCTCCCGACTGGGCCGCTGTCAAGCTATTTCACTTTTGGAGTCGCAGTGGAGATGTCACTAACCTGCTAACTCTCCCATCAGTGTTGATTTGGACCTGGATCCGTCTCGATTTGGAAATCGCTGACTTGAAATCGCTCGTTTGGATCAGATCTTGCTGTGTGATTTTTTTCAGCTTCCGCCGTGTGTACCAGTGGATTCGCAGACTACGAAAACCCCCAATAACCTGGACATGTGACAGTCTCCCTTGATCGTCACTTCCTGCGAAAACGTTGGACAGATTCGCTCAGAAAATGCCCTGATGCACCCTGTTACCCTCAAACACTTGCGCCGGTTCCATATTCTGTCTGCCTTCAAGTTCGCGCAATTTCTTCAATTGATGTTCCGGGCCAGTCCCTTTCCCCAATTTGGACTGGATACAGTACCTAACTCGCAGATGGTCAGCTTGGTCCCAGTTTTCCGCACTAGTCTCCCGACTGGGCCGCTGTCAAGCTATTTCACTTTTGGAGTCGCAGTGGAGATGTCACTAACCTGCTAACTCTCCCATCAGTGTTGATTTGGACCTGGATCCGTCTCGATTTGGAAATCGCTGACTTGAAATCGCTCGTTTGGATCAGATCTTGCTGTGTGATTTTTTTCAGCTTCCGCCGTGTGTACCAGTGGATTCGCAGACTACGAAAACCCCCAATAACCTGGACATGTGACAGTCTCCCTTGATCGTCACTTCCTGCGAAAACGTTGGACAGATTCGCTCAGAAAATGCCCTGATGCACCCTGTTACCCTCAAACACTTGCGCCGGTTCCATATTCTGTCTGCCTTCAAGTTCGCGCAATTTCTTCAATTGATGTTCCGGGCCAGTCCCTTTCCCCAATTTGGACTGGATACAGTACCTAACTCGCAGATGGTCAGCTTGGTCCCAGTTTTCCGCACTAGTCTCCCGACTGGGCCGCTGTCAAGCTATTTCACTTTTGGAGTCGCAGTGGAGATGTCACTAACCTGCTAACTCTCCCATCAGTGTTGATTTGGACCTGGATCCGTCTCGATTTGGAAATCGCTGACTTGAAATCGCTCGTTTGGATCAGATCTTGCTGTGTGATTTTTTTCAGCTTCCGCCGTGTGTACCAGTGGATTCGCAGACTACGAAAACCCCCAATAACCTGGACATGTGACAGTCTCCCTTGATCGTCACTTCCTGCGAAAACGTTGGACAGATTCGCTCAGAAAATGCCCTGATGCACCCTGTTACCCTCAAACACTTGCGCCGGTTCCATATTCTGTCTGCCTTCAAGTTCGCGCAATTTCTTCAATTGATGTTCCGGGCCAGTCCCTTTCCCCAATTTGGACTGGATACAGTACCTAACTCGCAGATGGTCAGCTTGGTCCCAGTTTTCCGCACTAGTCTCCCGACTGGGCCGCTGTCAAGCTATTTCACTTTTGGAGTCGCAGTGGAGATGTCACTAACCTGCTAACTCTCCCATCAGTGTTGATTTGGACCTGGATCCGTCTCGATTTGGAAATCGCTGACTTGAAATCGCTCGTTTGGATCAGATCTTGCTGTGTGATTTTTTTCAGCTTCCGCCGTGTGTACCAGTGGATTCGCAGACTACGAAAACCCCCAATAACCTGGACATGTGACAGTCTCCCTTGATCGTCACTTCCTGCGAAAACGTTGGACAGATTCGCTCAGAAAATGCCCTGATGCACCCTGTTACCCTCAAACACTTGCGCCGGTTCCATATTCTGTCTGCCTTCAAGTTCGCGCAATTTCTTCAATTGATGTTCCGGGCCAGTCCCTTTCCCCAATTTGGACTGGATACAGTACCTAACTCGCAGATGGTCAGCTTGGTCCCAGTTTTCCGCACTAGTCTCCCGACTGGGCCGCTGTCAAGCTATTTCACTTTTGGAGTCGCAGTGGAGATGTCACTAACCTGCTAACTCTCCCATCAGTGTTGATTTGGACCTGGATCCGTCTCGATTTGGAAATCGCTGACTTGAAATCGCTCGTTTGGATCAGATCTTGCTGTGTGATTTTTTTCAGCTTCCGCCGTGTGTACCAGTGGATTCGCAGACTACGAAAACCCCCAATAACCTGGACATGTGACAGTCTCCCTTGATCGTCACTTCCTGCGAAAACGTTGGACAGATTCGCTCAGAAAATGCCCTGATGCACCCTGTTACCCTCAAACACTTGCGCCGGTTCCATATTCTGTCTGCCTTCAAGTTCGCGCAATTTCTTCAATTGATGTTCCGGGCCAGTCCCTTTCCCCAATTTGGACTGGATACAGTACCTAACTCGCAGATGGTCAGCTTGGTCCCAGTTTTCCGCACTAGTCTCCCGACTGGGCCGCTGTCAAGCTATTTCACTTTTGGAGTCGCAGTGGAGATGTCACTAACCTGCTAACTCTCCCATCAGTGTTGATTTGGACCTGGATCCGTCTCGATTTGGAAATCGCTGACTTGAAATCGCTCGTTTGGATCAGATCTTGCTGTGTGATTTTTTTCAGCTTCCGCCGTGTGTACCAGTGGATTCGCAGACTACGAAAACCCCCAATAACCTGGACATGTGACAGTCTCCCTTGATCGTCACTTCCTGCGAAAACGTTGGACAGATTCGCTCAGAAAATGCCCTGATGCACCCTGTTACCCTCAAACACTTGCGCCGGTTCCATATTCTGTCTGCCTTCAAGTTCGCGCAATTTCTTCAATTGATGTTCCGGGCCAGTCCCTTTCCCCAATTTGGACTGGATACAGTACCTAACTCGCAGATGGTCAGCTTGGTCCCAGTTTTCCGCACTAGTCTCCCGACTGGGCCGCTGTCAAGCTATTTCACTTTTGGAGTCGCAGTGGAGATGTCACTAACCTGCTAACTCTCCCATCAGTGTTGATTTGGACCTGGATCCGTCTCGATTTGGAAATCGCTGACTTGAAATCGCTCGTTTGGATCAGATCTTGCTGTGTGATTTTTTTCAGCTTCCGCCGTGTGTACCAGTGGATTCGCAGACTACGAAAACCCCCAATAACCTGGACATGTGACAGTCTCCCTTGATCGTCACTTCCTGCGAAAACGTTGGACAGATTCGCTCAGAAAATGCCCTGATGCACCCTGTTACCCTCAAACACTTGCGCCGGTTCCATATTCTGTCTGCCTTCAAGTTCGCGCAATTTCTTCAATTGATGTTCCGGGCCAGTCCCTTTCCCCAATTTGGACTGGATACAGTACCTAACTCGCAGATGGTCAGCTTGGTCCCAGTTTTCCGCACTAGTCTCCCGACTGGGCCGCTGTCAAGCTATTTCACTTTTGGAGTCGCAGTGGAGATGTCACTAACCTGCTAACTCTCCCATCAGTGTTGATTTGGACCTGGATCCGTCTCGATTTGGAAATCGCTGACTTGAAATCGCTCGTTTGGATCAGATCTTGCTGTGTGATTTTTTTCAGCTTCCGCCGTGTGTACCAGTGGATTCGCAGACTACGAAAACCCCCAATAACCTGGACATGTGACAGTCTCCCTTGATCGTCACTTCCTGCGAAAACGTTGGACAGATTCGCTCAGAAAATGCCCTGATGCACCCTGTTACCCTCAAACACTTGCGCCGGTTCCATATTCTGTCTGCCTTCAAGTTCGCGCAATTTCTTCAATTGATGTTCCGGGCCAGTCCCTTTCCCCAATTTGGACTGGATACAGTACCTAACTCGCAGATGGTCAGCTTGGTCCCAGTTTTCCGCACTAGTCTCCCGACTGGGCCGCTGTCAAGCTATTTCACTTTTGGAGTCGCAGTGGAGATGTCACTAACCTGCTAACTCTCCCATCAGTGTTGATTTGGACCTGGATCCGTCTCGATTTGGAAATCGCTGACTTGAAATCGCTCGTTTGGATCAGATCTTGCTGTGTGATTTTTTTCAGCTTCCGCCGTGTGTACCAGTGGATTCGCAGACTACGAAAACCCCCAATAACCTGGACATGTGACAGTCTCCCTTGATCGTCACTTCCTGCGAAAACGTTGGACAGATTCGCTCAGAAAATGCCCTGATGCACCCTGTTACCCTCAAACACTTGCGCCGGTTCCATATTCTGTCTGCCTTCAAGTTCGCGCAATTTCTTCAATTGATGTTCCGGGCCAGTCCCTTTCCCCAATTTGGACTGGATACAGTACCTAACTCGCAGATGGTCAGCTTGGTCCCAGTTTTCCGCACCGTTTCTGTCTCCCCACTGATCCGTTCTGGCTGCACTCATCTCTGTTGCCTTGCATTTCCCCCGCTTTCGGACATTCATTTCATTCCCGCTGCCCCTCATTCGATCATTTTGCTCTTTCACCCCCATTTGGCTCCGGAGCTCACACGTCTTCTTTTCTTCTCGATTGTACCCATATTCTCATGAAGTGTGCTATCATCATATCCCATCACCACGACGCCTCCACCCCTCACTCGAACTATGACTTAACAGGACTTGGCAAGATGGAGGACAGCAGGAGGTGAGGCTGACGGCCAAAACGCACCTCTGGATCTTTTCCCCTGTGCACTCTGCCCACGTTCCGCCCACCGGCCCAGTCGACTTCCCTGCCCCTCCCTCGGAACGATCTCCCCGGCATCGCTTGCCGGCTGCTGGAAGTTTGTCAGAAGGGCGTAATCGATGCAATTGAGCCGCGGAAAGTTGTCCACCCTCTCCATGTGCTCCGTCCACTTGTCCATCCTCCTCCCCTGAGCTCCCAGAGTCTTTTCGTCGGTTGCTGCCATTCGGTCGTTACACTAGGTTTGTCCAGAGTGTGCAATCAGTTGTGACGTGACCAACACATAGGATGGTTAACAGAAGGCGGCCTGGGTTCCCAACTGAGAAGAGCAGGCGGACGGGGCAGTGCCGAGCGCGACACAAGCTGCCCATAGAAGGCATGTGTCAGGGTTACTCCCCATCCCCTCACAAAGATTCTAGCCTATTCCGCAAGGTGTCGGCCCACGCTCTCGAGTTTCCACCAATCAAGCTCCGTGGGTGGGGCAGATAGTGGGGCAGATCGCGGATCACACAGTCAGGAGGACGGTCGCTGATTGCCCCATGCTGCGCAATGCGTTTGAGCCGGCTCGTTGTAGCGCCGTGGGTGGTGGAACATGCGTAGGTAGTCAGCCAAATTTATGTCCAGTGTGATGGTACCAGACTGACCTCAATGTTGCTCGATGGCGCCTGCAAGTTGTGGATGGAAGTGCGTTGCAGCTACTTGAGAGCGAGACTAGGCTGCGATGGCGGAAGCTACGCGGCCAGATCCATAACGCGGGACGCGTCTTCGAGCGGAGATGTGCAGATATTTCAGTCCATCGACACTGTTGAGCGGAACACTGATTGCGCTGCATGCACAATGAACTTCTGTTGCCCTCAGTCGGACTCCTGAAAAGGAATGTGATTATGATGAGTGCGAGCCTTCGCTGCTGCATACCTGACTGGAGACTGATATTTGTCGCTCGTGTAATCTCCGGGACCTGCTGCGGGGCTGCAAGCCCCAGAAGCTCTGTGAGTAGGGAAACCTTGCGACCGAGTGACGAGTCTGCGAAGCCTAGCCAACGAGATTGAATTTCAGCGGGTACGCAGGCCAGTATGTCAATTTTACAGACGGTGAGAGGGTGAGGGCAATAACTCACCTGTGGACCTCGTCCCTCCATCCAATCTACTTCACTCCCACAAGACGACCCTCAAAATAGCCTTGTTGGAGCTTCTCAATCGTTTATAGCTTGCAGAGAGGTGATTGCCGATGCGCGGTCTGGGCGATGCTCCGAAACCATCCTGTGTAGTGCGAAAAGTCACCGCGCGTCCGATTGCGAGGCCCACGACAACTGTTTGAGTGAGAAATGTCGGAATGACGGGCAGTGAGCGGTAGAAAGCGAAAGAACTTACCTGTGAACTGCTCTCCCATCCAAGTACTTAGAATGCTCCACCCCTTCTCGATCCGTGTCCTCCGCCTTCTGCTCTCCCCAATACCACCCCCCATCGCGTTCGTTGAGCGTCGCGTGTTGCTGTTTGAGATGTGCAATGGGTGTCTGATGAAAGAGCAGACCGGCGCGCCGTTTGTGATGCCACAGAGCCCGCAATGTGTTGCGTTAGGTGAGGCAGAGCGTCCGATTTGGGGGCGCACAAGACCCATCGCAGTTAGTGTCAAAGGAGGGCGGTGGGCAGACTGCCCCGTGCTGCGCAGTCGTCGAGCGAACTCGTTGTACCATGTGTGCTCCCGAGATTGGCCCCAAGACTTTGCGTCTCTTTCCTGGAGTTCCCGGTGACGTCCAAAAGAACGCAGTGTGCGTTGTTGTAGTGGCCGACAAGGATGTGAAGGTGCGGTGCAGGTTGCGTCGGGAGATGTGAGCGGATTGGTGCATGATGTCAAAATGACGATGCATTGCGTCTGATTTCAGCGTGCAGCAAGGGTTTGCGCTACCACAAAAACCGCGATCCGCTGTGTAAAGTGATGCAGAACGCCCAGTTCAGGGCGCAGGTTGCTGCGTCCACTCGCCCTTCCGACTCGCCTGCCCCGTGCTCCCCGTTTCGTTCGCCGGTCTGCTGTCGTCGGCGCGCTCTCGATTGCCTCATCAGCATATTCGCATCGATGGACCAGAACCCGCGGCACCGCCCCGCCTAGCTCCTTCCGAATGACGCGCTCCAGGTCCTCGACCGTCACACCATCCGGCCGCAGCACACGGACCGCGCCGTCCGGATGCAGCCCGTCGACAACGGTGCTCTCCACCCCGACGCCGAACGCCCCGCCGTCCAGGACGACCGCAACGTGCCCCTCAAGATTGCGCATGACCTGCTCCGCGCGTGTAGGACTCGGCTTCCCCGAAGAGTTTGCACTCAGCGCGGCGAGGGCGGACACTTGAACAAGTTGACGTGGATGAGCGAGCGCAACAGGGTGCGACGGCATGCGCACCGCCACCGTCTTCTGGCCCGCTAACCCGGCGGAGCGGTCGCTGAGGTACGCGCCGATCATGGACACCACGAAGGCGACTGAGAACGGCGGCATGCTCATGAGCTGCGCACGCGCGGCGGTGTAGCCAAGAGACTGGATGGTCGATGGTGTAAAGTAGGCCAGCGAGTAAGGCGTAATGCACCCCATGAAGCAGGCAAGCGCGCAGAGGAAGACCTGCATCGAAGCGAGCGCCTTCCCGACTTCTGCCCAGCTGAAGGAGTCAGATTGCTCGTCCGCGCCGATAGAACCATCCACTCGGAGGACAGCCTTGACGTAAGCTTTCTCCGCATTAAGGAAGCGCGCGTAGTCCGGAGAGCTGGGCATGAACGCGTACGAGACGAGGCTGACGAACACAGTGATCACACCCTGCGAAACACATTAGACGCTGGTTTACGTGTGGGCTGTTTGGGTCCAGACACACCTCAATGATGAAGATCCACTGTCAGCCAGAGTGCCTGGCCTTGCCATTCATATGGATGATGCCGTAGGCCATGATACCACCAAAGGCGCCGGAGATGAAAGCAGCATAAAAGAACAACGTAATGCTATTCAGATAGCTGAATACCCGTTTCGCCTCCAGCTCACCCACGTCAGTTTCTTCATCCTCCGACTGAGCTTCTTCAACAGTGACGACCAGCACTGTTAGTGGTGGGGTATTACTGAACAACTGCCCTACGAAGGTCGCAGGCTGGCCAATGGGCGAGACGGTCGGACCGTCGGTGGCATTGACTGTCGCACAGCGGCTGCGCTGGCGGGTGAGCGTTGGGTGAGAGATGCGGCAGACATGGACTGTGGGCGCCAAGGGTAGTGCGTTAGGTGGTGGTGCTCCCAGTCCAAACTGCACAATAGGAACCAATCTACAGCCACGATGAGCTTCCTGAACAAGAGGAGGCGCCAGCATACGTACCGACGCTCAGATTGGCATGCAAAGGTCCAATGCGGCTGGACGATAGGTATGCTCCGCTGCACAGCACGCTGGTACTTAACTTCAGGCACGCCAGTCGGTGTATGTGTATCTGGGGTGGTGCATGCGAAGTGCATCGTGTCAATCTTGATCTTCTCGATCCATCGCGTGCCAATACGCTGCAGGGCCTCCTTGGCCTGCTTGACGAGCCAGGCGTCAGTTGGCGCTGGTACGTTGACCGCGAAACCAGCGGGGACGAGCGCAGTGCCGGCGGTTGTGTGCAGCGGCTCGACGATGTATCCAATGATCTGGAGAGGACTCATCAGAACCAACACACTCGGCGGGAGACGATCAAGCGCACCTGCGGCCTGGGAATCTTGACGAGGAATCCATCTCCGTGCGGCTGGAAGTTGTCCGTGTATTTGGAATATGCGAAAGACAGCGGCAAGGACGAATTGACCGCGTTTCTCAGGTCGTCCGCAATGTCCGTGTGTTTCACGTAAACGACGATGTGTCTCACGACGATGAAAGAGGTCGTGTATCCGGATTGAGAGAGGAGAGTAGTTGATTCGTCCATTTGAGCATGGTTAGTGACTGGGAGGGATCAATGAAGTATCATTCATTACCTTGTAGAAGGACTGGCCGTCCTTGAAGATCTGAGGCTAGGGTTAGTTCCGCCATTCCAAGTGTTGTTCACTCACCCTGTTATCGAGAACAATATCCTCCCACCGGCCCTTGGGTGCATCGATCTTCACAGCAGGAAACAGGCTCTGAATGGGTGCAGTGCCGAGAGGTGTCACTGGGTGGACGTCGGCGCTGTCAACAGACTCGGTGGGATCCGATAGATCTTGCGGGGTGAACGACATGGGGAGCGAAGCGAACCAGTCGACGGGGGAGATCTGGACAGGGTAGACCTTGTACCTAGTCCGGAGCAAAACAGATGAGGTTTAGCGGAGGATGTCTTTCGCATCCTGGGATGCTGCAATTAGATATGTTCTCGGGATGAGAGGACGCACTCACTTGCAAAGCATGGGCTGAACGATTGATTGTAATGTCCAAGAACACGATGTAATCCTTGAAGCGGTTGATATTGCCACTAACGGCTGCGTCCCAGTACTTCACTGCGATTTCTCTCTCCCGCACAACGCCAAGCTGTGCGATTGAACGGGCTTGTTCCTCGACTTCGTTACGGTCGGTCTGTCCAATCATTCTCAGCGCAGTTTACAAGAGAATGGGCAGTCAACTCACCGATGCAAGCTTCTTGATCAACAGCGCCTTCTCGCTCTCCCAAGCCAGTTTGGCCGCGAAGTACTGGTCCAGCAGGTACTCGCTGAGATCGGGCCACGACATCTTGGTCTCCGATCGCACGGCATCTGAGCTGGTCCTGTAGGTGGACAGCTGCCACCGGGAGACGGGGACTTCTGTCTGGAGCCACTGGCGGATCTGGTCCTGCTGCTGGCTCAGCGGGCTGTGCACGGGCTCGGGGACGAGGCTGTAGAGCATCTGCGACGGTTCACGAAAGATTGAGCCTCTGCAGAAGTAGTGAGGAGTTCAGACCGTACCTGCTCGTAGACAGAGCTGAGAGTCTTCTCGTCGTCCTGGGTTTCTCCTCCAAACAGTCATTCGACGACATTGGCATCGGCCTCGGCGACCTCGTCTGGCTTCATCCCTTGTGCATCGATCCCAGCGGCAGCGAGAGAGGTATCCCACAAGAAAGCAGTAGGGTCGATCACCTTGCCCTTCGTCCGGAGCTTCCAAGTCTGGCCCCTCTCGGCAGGGAAAACCTCCCCAAGCGCATTGGTGAGGGCGCGAAAGTATTCAGTGCATGGTGCCTCGACGACGACTTCGGCAAAAACCGGTACTGCCAACGGCTCGGGCCGCAGGACCTTCTTGTTCTCAACAAAGATTCTCTGCGTCCGCACTACCGGCTCGGCGACGGCGACTTCAGTTGCAGAGATGATCGCTGCCTGGGACACAACGGGTTCGATCTCGGGAGCAGCTGCTTCAATAGTCAGAAGGACGACTGGTTTCGGGATCTCGTCTTACCGGAAGTGTCGCTTGCGCTGAAGAACGTAGATCGGCTGGTGGAGGCACAATATGTGCGAGGTGGGATCGAGGGACTGGTCGTGGCGATAGTCACCAGCCGGGACGGAGCGATCTATGAACGCGTGATCTGCCCTCTCAAAGCAAACGAGACGGATATGGAAAAACCGGGACACGTTGACAGACATAGCATCTTCCGTTTGGCGTCTGGCTCCAAGCTTTTCGCAGCGTTGGAGACGTGGGTCTTACGAGAAAGGGGTGCTCTCAACCTGTATGTATATGACCTTATCCGAGGCTTCACTGGCCTGAGTCATCGAGTTTAGGGACGACCCGGTACACAAGTTCTTTCCTGACTTGAACTATCTCCCAGATGGGTGGGGCGGGACCAAGGACGGTCGGATGGCTTCAGGCCCGGTAACTGTCCGGCAGCTCGCAAGCCACATGTCTGATCTCACGCGTGAGTTTCCCCGCGGCAACATGCCGCATTGGCCGCACTCTGGAAGGCATGGGTCCACCGCCCAACAACGGCCGCGGGTTTCCAACCACGGAGGAGATGATCGACGGGCTCAAGATGCTGCCGCTCAATGTCCCGACCTACCACTGTCCAGTGTACTCGAACGTCGCAATCGGGCTGTTGGGGCAAGTCAACGTCGCAGCCAATGGAGCCTTTGTAGCCGACCCCACGACACTCCGAAGTCTTGGCCGGAACTTGCCCAACGAGATCTGTTCAACCCGCTCCGGAGAACAGAGCCCACGTAGCTGTCGCTTCTCAGTTCAGGGAAGAAGTGGTGTGTGCGTTTCAGCACACTGGTTTCGATCTTTCTCTGACATTGATCCATCAAGATTACGACTTTTTGGCTATCATGGCTTGTTCTGGCGGACAGATGAGCTCGCGGTCGGACTACGTCAAGCTCATGCAAACCTTTCTTGGCCCAACTCGTCCCGAGAGCCTCCTCCCTCCGTGGGTCATACGAGAGTGGATGCGACCCCCGTATGGCTGATGGGCGGACGAATCATTGGAGATTGGAATGCTGTGGGAGATCGAGAAGATCTGGGATTCGTACAACCGCCCACGGTGCATTTTTCAAAAACGTAAGCACCCCACCCCCGCGCAATCCATCTCACCTAATCAGCTCGTGTACTTGGTACTCTCGGTGCCTCTCGAAGTGCGTTTGCGATCAACCAGGACATGGCCTACGGGATCGCAGTCCTCATGACTGGAACGACACCTATCAACGATCTCGTCCTGGACATCTTTCGGGCAATGCAGCCGATTCTGGATCGGTCACTTGCGGCGGATGCCGCTGAGCTGTATTCTGGCGCATGCACTCCGATCGACGGTAGCGACGAGTCGAAACTGCTGATCACAGTCATGGCTGGATCGCTCTGGATGACCGAGCTGCGGCTCAAAGGTACTGGCGTTCTCGGCGTGGCTTTCCCAACTCCAGAGCCAATCGCCCTCTCGTCCACGGGTCGTTTACACGAGTTTCGGTCGGTGTGCTTTCCAGTGTTTTTGGCCTTCTGCTTATGTGTTCCACAGCATGGTGTTTGCCTCGCCGTCGAAGAACTGCATATCTTCTTGGACTGCGATTGACGATGGGTTCTCGCAGGGCCACCCGAACGACCTTGTTTATCTCACGGACGATGGCCTGCTCCACATCCCGTCGTTTGGCAGTCTTTGAGCGCCAGTAAGGATTACAGAATCTATATACTACGTCGAAAAGAACGCCATCTCAGTCATGCGCACTCGAGTCGTGGCCATCTTTCGTCAACGATGATCGGAGTAGGCGCATGGCTTTCCTCGCCCAAAGGAAAGAGATATCAAGTCTCATCATATTTCTGCGACACCTCCCCATTCTCACCGCGCTCCAATTCCATGTCCTTCCTGTGCCCGCCAAGCTCATCTCTGGTCCTACTAGAATCCCCCCGAGCGTTTGAGCTGGGCTTCGACTGTTTGTAACCTACAGCAAGGTGATTGTGCCGCGCAAGGCTGAAATGGTGCAGAAGTTACAATAAATGCATGAGGTGATGCTGCGCGTCCAACATCGCACCCCTGTCTGCACATCCTGGTCATGTCTGAGGAATACAGTGCTCCATGTCGTGTCCCAGCAGCCAAGTGACGATGCCGAGTCCGGAATGCGAGCGAATTGGGTGCAAGGTCAGAATTGATAAATGCAGCACGTGGCATTTGATGTCGTAGCGTACAATGAGATACAATTTCAGTTTTTGCGTAGAGCAGCATGACGATTTTTCGGACGGTGGGAAAGAGAGGAGGAAGAACTTGCCTGGGGACCTCGTCCTTGCACCCGTATCCTCAGAACACCCCATTCAGTTTACTGCTCTCCATCCCCATGAGACTTCCATTGATATATACTTGGGAATGTCCCAATCCTGCAGTGGGGCGATTTTAGACGCAGGGTCTGGGCAATGCTGCGAAAACCACCTTGTGTCATGTGAAAAGTCACCGTGCGTCAGATTTCGAGGCCCATGACAACAGCATTAGTATGAGATGTCGAAAGAACAGACAGTAAGGGGTGGATAGCGAAACGAGCTCACCTGCAGACTGCTCTCCCATGCGTGTTCTCAGAGCGCTTCGCCCCTCCCAATCATTTCTGCCTTCCGCTCTCCCCAATACCACCCCCCATTGCGCTCGTTGAGCGCCACGTGTTGCTATTCGAGCCGTGCGCTAGGAGGCAGATGCATCCGAGTCGGCATCAAAGGAGGGCGGCGGGCTCACTGATCCATGCTGCACGGTGCGATCAAGCGAGCTTGTGGCGCCGTGTGTGGACGCAAGATTGGCCTCTAAATCGTCGGTCCCTTCCTGCACATTGCACTGACGTCCGAGAGAACGCAACGGGCGTTGCCGTGTCGGCGAAGATGCGCAAGTTCGGTGCGCGTTGAGTGCTGACATGTGAGCGAGTTGGCGCATGAGATCAAAACAACGATCTGCCGCGTCTTATGTTAGCAGTTCACGTTGTTACACAGGGCAGGATGGCGAGCTTGCGGATAGCGGAAGTTCGAAAAGCGAAAAAAAAACTTACCTGCGGATTCTGCTCATCCGCATTGCCCCAGCGCTCCACCCCCTCCATCCGAAATACAAGCCCCCCATTCCCACTGGACGAGCGCATGCTCGAGATGTTCTGATCACTGAGCGGCGCAGCAGGTAGAGTGAGTGGACGGTGAGAGGTAGGCTTTAAGAAACGCACCTGCGGACTTGCGCGCATCCACTCTGCCTGCGCTGCGTCCACTCGCCCTTCCGAATCCCCAGTCCCATGCCCCCTGTTTCACTCGCCGGTCCGTTCGCTGAAAGTCGATCGTTGGGAGCTGCGTCGTTGAGGATGTGTGATCGACCCAATTGAGAGGAACAGGTGACGCCCCAAAGGGGGCTGAGTGACTTGGGGTGCCGCGTCCGGTTCTAAGAGGCCCAGTGGTCGCCCCATGCGGCGCGATATGTCAAGACAGCGGACAGCAGGGGGTAACGCGGAACGTGAGAGATAGATAGTGAGAAGAGATGCACTGGCAGATCCAGCGCGCCCCCTTCAACCGAAATCCAAGGCCCCCTAGCGAGAGGCGCCCTGCGATGTGAGGCCCCGCATTTGCTGAGGTTCATGTTGTGTTGGGAGCATTCCTGGCCAGAGCGTCCGACATCCTTGGTTGGCAAATCATTGAGCTCATCCAGGATGGAGAATGAAGGAGAAAGTGAGGATATGGAGCCCGGGGCTGCAGGCCGTGTGCTGGTTAAGTCCCAAGGTCGAGTCTCTGAACCAGCACACGCTGCTCTGCATCCCGGGCGAGCAGAGAGTAACGATGCAGAAGGGACTGATGCTGAATGTCACGTGGAATGACGTGGCAAGCAGCTTGGACTTATGTAAGGCTGTGCCCTGATGATAGTCCTTAAACATTTTGATGATCCCCCTCTTTGCGTGAAATCCTTCCCCTCTTCCCCTACATCCTGCCCTGTGTTCCTAGCCCTAGGATCTCGAAATAGGAGAAACCCTTGCCATCAATGTTGTTGTCGCTTTCCGGCCTGTAACTGGGGCGCACGGAACGGGGAAGCAACAATCGGGCACCTTCAAGGGAGTCACTACTACCCACTACGCACTCAGGGCGTCGTCAGAATACAGTACACAAGGCGATCAGAAATAAACATCCACAAGTTATGCTATGCTGAGATAAATGTATGCAATAGAGAGTATAAGGACATGGTCCAGATGGAAACACAAAATACATTTGAGAAGTGCATGCTGTTGTCCTCTGGGGCGTAGAGATTGTCGTAATGCATCATCGGGGGGTGGGGACTGGACCCAAAGAGCACGCCCTCCTCGTTGAGAGTCGGCATCATCATGGGCGGGTGGACGAACGATTTGAATGATTCATCTTGGTACAGGTAGGACGCCTGCATCGTCGGCGGGTGGAGGAAGTCGTCTGAGGACGGGAGCTGCGGGGGGTGGATCTGTGCATCGGGCGAATCTCGTTTTAGCGCCATGGGTGGATGCCAGAACGAGCCTTGCTGCTGCTGCTGCCGCTCGCTGAACGGGAACTCCATCGCAAATGACGGTGCACTCGATTACCCGTCCGTGTATTTGTTATACGACGAGCTGTAGCTGACGGCACTCGAAGGTGGCTCCGAGGTCGAGTCGACGCTCATCCACCGGCGTTTGTTGACCCGCGCATCGCCGTCCACTCCACCGCTGACATCCACGCCTCCAAAAGGAAGCACGTCCGCGTAGGTCTCATGGTACGGAATCGGTGCGCTCCAGCCGTGGGCTTCGGCAGTGGGTCAAGCGCGGTGGTCAGGTCGGACGTGCTGCTGCGAGGTGTGAGCATCGGCGAACCCGAGCTCAAAGGTGATGTCGATCCCGGGACGGGCGAGCCCTGGCGACTGGCTGTGGGAGTGTCCGCCTGCGCCTGCGCTTGTGCTCGGACTTGCACTTCGTGGCAAGAACATTTGCGGATGATGTTGCTCTGCTTCGAAATCGGACGCGACGTTCCGGGCAACTTGTAATACAGACTACAGGCGTTGCCCACAGTCCGATCTTCGTCGTCTTCGTCATGCGGCAGCTCAAGCATTGCGCTGGAAGGCACTCAGAGAAGATCAAGCGGTATAACAATCAACTAACCCATGACGTCCGGAACTTCGGCTCGAGTTGACTGGCCTTTGCCTTCTCCCATGTTGCGCATCGCCTTCGGCCGAGGTCGCTGGTGCTTTGTCTCCAATTAGCACCATGCAAACCGAAAGTAGCGCTGAATACACACCAGCTTGCAGTAGAATCCGCAGGCGTTGCAGTTGACTTCGTTGTTGAGCCCTCGCCTCCAAAGCGGAGTATGAGTCGCTTCACAGTTGCTGCACTCGGCTTTGACACCAGCCCCAAGCGCATCACCGGCAACAGCGCCGGCCCGCAGCGCCGCGCCCGAACTGGCCGTCGATGGCTTCTCCGACGACAATGGGGGAGTTTCTTGATTGTTTGTAGCCTGCATTGAGGTGACTTTAGAGTGGGGGTCTGGGCGATGCTGCGAAAATTCACTTGTGTCACACAAAATTTCACCGCACGTCCGATTTCGAGGCCCATGACAATAGCATTAGTACAAGATGTCAAAACAGCAGACAGTAAGCGGCAGATAGCGCAACCGACTCACCTGCAGACTGCTCTCCCATGCGCGTTCTCAGAGCGCTCCGCCCCTCCCATTCATCCCTGCCTTCCGATCTCCCAATACCATCCTCTCATTGCGCTCATTGCTATTTGAGCTGTGCGCTAAGAGGCAGATGCATCCAAGTTGGCGTCAAAAGAGGGCAGTGGACTGACTGCCTCCTGCCGCCCGATGCGATCAAGCAAGCTTGTGGCCGCGAGTCGGCCCCTTCCTGCACATCCCGGAGACGTCCGTGAGAACGCAGCGGGCGTTGATGTGTTCGCTGGCGAAGATGCGCGAGTGCGGTGCCGGTTGAGTCCTGAGATGTGAGCGGGTTAGCGCGTGAGGTCAAAATGACGATCCGCTGCATTGACAGCGGCGGTTTACGTTGGTTACACCGGGCAGGATGTGCAGGTGCATGGTCAAGACGTCCTGATCACCATGCAGCGCAGTGAGTAGAGTGAGCGGACAGTGAGGGGTAGACTTTGAGAAACGCACCGGAAGACATAGGCCCATCCGCCTTCAATGAGATGGCCGCAGAATGTACTGCGTGTACATGAGGCGGGTACGTGTCTGATTCCCAGATGCGCAACGAACGCGATCTTCTGGGGTGTACGCGGCACGATGTGTTGAGACGGCGGACGGTGGGAGGAAGGGCAGACGGTGAGAAACTCACCTGTGAAGCTCTCCCTCATGTGCCCTCGCGCTCCGCCCATTTGTGCATCCAGCTCCCACGCCCCACCCCTCTGGGAGCCGTCTCCCCGGTTTCTTACAGCGGTCGCGGTCGTTGGAAGTGGTTGAGGGCATGTGATCGAGCGTGAAATTGGTGCGGTTGAGGCAAGCGTACAGGATGCCGGAGGCCTAATTTGAGCCTCTCTGACACACAGGACGGCGACACAACGCGTGGTGGTGGGGGGTTAGGGTGTTGGGGAATCGACGGGCGGCAATGGTGTAAAGAATGCGCTAGCCGGTGGCAGAGACAGAGCCCGATATCAACGTGAGGTGCAAGACATGGATGTGCGAGGCTGTGACGACAGCATCACACCCTCCGTCAGCTGTTCTGGTGCGTGGATCCTGGCCTCTGGGCGCACTTTCCGGCAAATTTGAGTCAGCAGGATTTTTTTGCTCACGCTGAACTTCAATTTGAGTTGCGAGGATTTTCTATTGTACAGCAGTCGAATCTGGGATCCACGATTCTCGCCCTGTTCTCAGACTTCGTTTGACAGCTCCCATCATTTCTCGTCTCCGCGCTTTGCTCTGGCTCCCCATCCCTCCACGTCGCAGGGACAGCTGTTTCGTGTAATCCACTGCATATTACACGTGTTTTAGTACAGACTTTCTCAAATGAGCAAATAAATTTGAGGAGGTTTGCCTCTGGGATCCACCGTCTAATCAGCATCAGTGATTCTGACTAGACAGCAGGAAGATGTTGATATTGCAACACGACGGCTGGTTGAATAAATATGAAACTTGGCATGTGTAATCCTCCATATGTCTATGTTAGAATGCGCAAAAAAAATTGTGAGTGTTGAGTCAACTGCGGTTGGGATCCATCCTCTGATCATCGGGCCAGTTTTTTAGGGTGCCAAAAAAGACGCCTTCATAGTGGGGCTGCTGCGCAGCCCCACCCCCTCAGACCCATGGATCCATATGGATCCCGGGTCCAGGGGACCTTAAGCTACATGTGGATGTAATTTTCGCAAAATTTCATGGAGAAATGAGCTCAGGATCCACGTTTGCAATGGGATCACATCTGGGAGGGGAAATATACATAGGCTTCTGCTTCTCCCCATCTTCTTCCTCGAATTCGTCGAAGAGGTCCGGAAACAGCTGCACGAGATGCGCGAGTGCCGCAAGAATCACAATCACCTGCGACAACTTGCTCTTACTCCGACTCGTGTCCACCGACTCCTTGGGCTTCTTGCTCGCTGCCTGCCCCGCCGGCTGCTGCTTCGCCTTTCTCTTCCCTGCGTTGCGTCAGTAACGAACAAGTGCCGATACCACTTTGCACTCACTTTGCGACGGTTCAGCGGCCTTCGCCGCCTGTGCCGGAGTCGACGTGGCTGGCGTCACAGGGACACTCGACGATGGCAGCTGCGATGGTGCAGGCTGCGGCGTCGAAGGCAACTGCGATGGCGCAGGCTGCGGCGTGGAAGGCCGCGCATCCATCGATGACCCTTCTTGCGGCGCGTTGGCCGCCGTCTTCTTTTTCGCTAGATCACTTTCAGCGAAAGGTTCTCTCATCGAATCCACTTACGTCGGGGTTTCGGGCGCATCCCCTGCACAATCTTCCGCGGCGCTGGCGCACCCGGCGGTTTGCTCACGCCCTCTCCCCGACCACCCCGTCCAACCACCTTCACCGGCGCCCTTAGCCCCACATCGTTCCGTCCCTCATCGTCGTCATCTGGCCGCATCACATCAGCCATATCCACCGTCACTGCGAAATCATTACCGGACAGCGCCGTCAAATCCCCATCGATCGGATCTTGCTCAGGTGCGACGGTTTTCCCTTTCCCTTTCCCCTTCTTCGGCGGCGCAGGTTGTTCCTCTTCGTCATCGGTGAACTCGGGCGTCGGTCGCCGCTTCCCTTTCCCCTTCTTCGGCGGCGCAGGTTGCACCTCTTCGTCCTCGGTGAGCTCGGGCGTCGGTCGCCGCGTCCCTTTTCCCTTCTTTTTCTTGGGCGCTTCCTGGGCTTCTCGCTCAGCCGCTTCCTGGGCTTCTTGCTCCGCCGCTTCCTCGGCCGCTTTCTGAGCAGCTTTTAACGCTTCTCGCTCTTGTTTCCGGTGAGCTTTCTCGGCCGCGGTCAGTTTTTTAGGCATTCTGAGATTATCGTCGGGATCGAAACGATACGTGTGTGCGATCTCTCTTACGGAGGCTGTACAACTACGGATTAGGAAGGTGGTGGTCAAGAGCAAGAGGCAAAGTCACATCACACATCACTGTTCCAAGTGTCACTGCATGGCACGTGAACAGGTTGCTTACCAAGACATTACCTAATCTTTTTCCGCCTTACTTTGTTATTGTCGTTGTCGAAAATCGCGTCCTGTATCCCCGACTGATCATCATCTCTAAGTTGTACCATGCCAGTTCCCGCAGTCTTGGGCGTGACGACGTATTAACTAAGGGTCGAACAAAAGATTTCACTCCAAAAAAAAGTTTGTTGGTTGCCAGAAAGCAAAACGTCGTGACGTCCAAGACACCGTGTGTCCGGCTGGTCGTCTGCCTTCGTTATTCTCTTTACCTGACTCGTTTGGCAACTTGACCCGTTCAAATCATCGTTGGCTCCAAGACACCGGGTAACCAGGCGGTCAATGTCATGGTCCTCGATGTCAGACCATGACCCTGACCGCCTGGATACCCGGTGTCTTGGAGCTTACGATGATGTGATTCGATCATGTCACATGTCAGTCATGTGATGCAATAAACATGTGGACTTCACCACCCGGCCACACGGTGTCTTGGACGTCACGACGTTTTGCTTTCTGGCAACCAACAAACTTTTTTTTGGAGTGAAATCTTTTGTTCGACCCTTCTCAGTAAATACGTCGTCACGCCCAAGACTGCGGGTATGGGCATGGTGCATTGGACCCGTGCACGGGCTGTACATAGCAAAAGTTGTTTGGTGTAGGACCACATTTGCTACAAGTTGGAAAGTTCGGTTTACATGTCTCGTGCAAATGCTAATTTTTGAGACAGTCTGACAGAACGTCGTCACCACCAATACACCGTGTACCCAGCCCCTCTCAGGCTGAAGGAGCTGCGTCGACGCACAACATCATCACCTCCAAGATACCCGGCACCACACCTTTCCAGTCATGTGCCCCCTGCTAGGGTAACCCTAAAGGGCTTCCCTGGCCCAGGGTAACCCAGCCCTGGGGTTAGGTCTGGCCTAGGGAATCGACCCTAGACCACTCTCTAATAACCCTAATCCTCCACATCGGGGTCGGTCGTGGAAGGCGCGGGGTCATTCGGGGGTGCCAAGATGGCCCAGCTGGTCGACGAATAGACGGGTGCGGTCAGAACCGTCGGGGTATCTTCTCCGTCGACGACCATCTCGTTGCTCTTCGGGGGCGCCCGAGACGCTCGTTTGCCGTCGAAGGAGACGTTGATCTTGTGTCGGCCCAGGAACGTGCGGGCGGCTTCCAGGTCTTGCGTCAGCGCCTGCCACACTGGTCCGTTGGGAGCGGTCTCCTCGTTGTGCTCGTCTTGCTGCTGACTTTCCAAGGCCAGGTGCAGTTTCTCCCAAGCTGGAGTGACATGAGCGCGCGGACCTCGTGCTGGAATAACGCTTACCCGCGGTGCGCTCGGGGGTGGTGAAGTCGTGCAAGAGCGAAGACTTGCGCAGGGAGATGGCGGCCAGAACGAAGTCGATGGTGTGCTCGGCGACCAACTGGAAAAAAAAGCACTTTTTCTCCTGACCTTGCCGATAGACCCGGCCGAGCGTCTGCGCCTGCGAAATCGCGCTCCAGTCCACGTCCTGGTTACGATTCAGTCAGTGGGTTGAATTAGGAGGCTAGGTGGGGGGGGACTCACGGCAGCGATGATGACGTTCGCCATCTGAAGCTCCAGTCCTACGCTGGCGACGTTGTAGGTCGCCAGGAGAACGTGATAGTCCCCATCCCGAAAACGGTCAATCACGGCTTGTCTGGCTTTGACTGTCTTGGTGACCGAGCCGTTGATAGCCAGGACTCGGAACCCGACGTGCTCGAGGAAAGCCTGCACGTACTCCATGTACATGGCGAAATACGTAAAGATGATCACCTTTTCGGTGACCGGTTTCGAGCGCTGCGCCTGACTCAGAGTGCCGAGGAATTGGGCGGCTTGAGGGTGATCGGCGGGTGGGAATCCTAATTCCTGCATGCGTACAACGTCGCGCTTGAGAGCCAGAGTGCCCACGACGGACTGGGCACCGGAATCCAGGATTCGTTCCAGGAGCAACGCAATGGCCGTGACCTTAGAGAAGCGGGCGTCCTCCTTGTTCCAGAACGCGTTGACACCGGACGTCTCCACCACTCTCCCCACCGCGGCCTCGGCAAACGAAGTCACTTTCCGAGCTTCGAGGTAAAACGACTAGGCTGGCGTTCAGCAGACGTTGTCGTGACTGTTCCGATACACGTTACCTGCTTCCCTTCCCCGGCCCCTTTCAGCGCTACGGCGGCGGTCCCTTGTTGAATGAGCACTTTGTCGCCCCACTCGATCTCGTCAGCATGCGAGGGAGTGACAATGGTGAGCTGCTCCAGCTCTGGGAGTCCGACACCCACGGTTTTCTTGATTGTGCGCAGGGATGCCATGTCTCGCACGAGGACGTGATTGCCCAACAGGTTTCGCTGAAGGGACATGACGTGCTTGAGGGCCGCCATGCTCGCGCCCATGTCCGCGTTGTGCTTCAGGCCTTCGACGCCTGCGGTCAACGCTGACTGTTGCAATTCAAGGCGGCTCTGTTGGTTTTTGAGGCGTTCGCGGGCTTGGAGACGCGCCGACCCGGCCAAAAGGCGCTCGCATCGATCCAGGATGTGTTGGGGCCCCGTGCTCGGGCGGAGAAGCCGTAGTTGATTGAAGACGTCCTGCGTACAATGAGCGTCGTTGCAGCCGATGTGGAGCTGCCTTACCCTGGGGCTTTCGATGACGGGGGTTCCCGTCATCAGCAGCTTGATGAACGCCACCAGCAGCAGCGCCTGACAGGCACTAAAGACCCTACCGGTCTTGCGGGCAGAGTGCGATTCGTCCAAGACAACCGTTGTCCAGAACCGCGAGTACACTGTCGAGCGCAGGGGCTCCCCGTTCTGGAACGGCAGCCGTGAAGGGCGGGAAATGAGATCATGCATTCCGCGAAGAGTCTGTAGGAAAAATGGGTGAAATCGTCGGGAGCGTTCCGATGAGGGCATACCGTGTAGCTAATCACTACAACGGTCGTGTTCCCCTCCTTGGGGATCTTGGCCATTGCGTCTTTCCACATCCGCTGGGCCGTGGGCATCGCGATCACGCGCACCTGCTCGTTAAAGTGCGACT